GTATCCTCAGAGTTCGTTCAAGTCCACAAACCTCTGTCTGTGACGGAGCCCCTCAGACATGGCTCCTCTAGTCACTAGCAGATTCCGACAGTGGTTGCTTCGGAATCGCTTCCAACATAAAAGCTCCTTAACGGAAACACGTCTTCTGGACTCTCTGCGTGACAGTTTCCGGCGAGGAGTGGGTGTTCCTACAGGAGGTCCTGAAACCTCCCCACTGTTTTCGCTGGAAGTGTCTCTGAGCCATCCCTCCAGCTCACTTTCCCTCAGCTCAGCTCCTCTCCCCTACTGGTTCCCTCTTCAGCTGCTGAGTCTCTCCCAACCTGTGTGAGCCCTTTCACCTCCCTTCCTTCCGATGGCAGTTCCCTGACATCCACCTCCCCTCCAGGGCCCCTTTCACCCCCTCTCGCCCCCTCCTCTACGGGCGGTGAGGAGGCAAAACCCCGGAATGAACTTCCTTCATCTTCCGATGTCTCGAACACTTCTCTCCACCTGTTGCGGTTCCTGGTCTCGAAGTACTCCTCCTCCTCAGAGTCCATCTCCCTTCCCCTTCCGAGTCCGGGAATCCTTCCAACTCCTCCTCCTCATCAGTGGTCCCAAAGTATTCCCTCCGGAACCTCTCCACAGGCTGAGGTTTCCTTGGGAACCTTTGATGGAACGTTTCTACCAATACCTCGTCATTGATATCTTCGGCCATTACCCAAGTGTTTTCTGACCCGGTTCTCCTTCCCACGCTACCAAATACTCCACCTGATCCCCCTTCCACCTGGCGTCGAGGATTTCTGCCACATGGCTGCTGCATTCTCTTTCTTCTATGACCGGTCCCCGAGTGGCCATCCCTTCTCGTCCCCTTCGTACGGTGACAGTAACGACCTGTGAAATACTGGGTGCAGTTTCATGTGGTTGGGTAACCGGAGCCTGAAAGCCACTGGGTTGACCTGTTGAATGACCTCAAAGGGACCCAACCTCCTGGGTCTTAATTTCTTACAACCTCCTTTGAACGGCAACCCTTGGGTTGACAGCCACACCCTATCTCCCACCCTTATGGTTTCACCTTCCCTTCGGTTCTTGTCTGCCTGCCTCTTGTATTCTTCCTTCGCCCTTTCTAAGTTGAGTTGGAGCTGACGATGGATTGCTTCCATTTCTTCCACAAAATGCTCGGCTGCCGGGACGCTCCATCCCTCCCCCATCTCCCCTGGGAAAGCCCTGGGATGACACCCATAATTAGCCAAGAAGGGGCTCATCCCTGTGGACACATTCTCGGCATTGTTGTAGGCAAATTCCGCCAGCGCCAACTTTTCTACCCAGTCATTCTCTCTGTCATTGACATAACACCTCAGGTATTGCTGGAGGACACCGTTTGCTCTTTCCGCCTGCCCGTTGGTTTCAGGGTGCCGGGCAGTCGAAAAATTGACCTCCACCTGCAGTAAGCTCATGAGCTTCCTCCAGAACCTGGAAGTAAATTGTTTTCCTCGGTCTGAGACCACCCTCAATGGCACTCCGTGCAACCTAAAAATGTGTTCTACAAATAACTTCGCTGTCTCTTCCGCCGTGACTGCATGCGAGCAAGCTACAAAGTGGCACATCTTTGTTAGTAGGTCTACCACCACCATGATGGCTGTTTTCCCTTTGGACTTCGGCAGATCAGTCATAAAATCTATCGACACTGCCTCCCAAGGTCGTTCTGGGGTTGGTAAGGGTTCTAAGAGCCCCGCCTGCTCCCGCCTTTCCCCTTTGTCTCGCTGGCATTCCTCTCATGCTCTTACATACTCACGTAAATCGTTACTAACATTAGGCGACCAAAATTACCTGGTTACAATCCACATGGTTTTGTGTTGTCCAATATGCCCCGCCGTAGGGCTGTCGTGCAACTGCTTGAGTACCCTCCCCTTAAGTCTCCTTCAGGGATATACAGTGCCCCTTTGTAATACAAAGCTCCATTTCTTTCCTCGAAACCCCTGGTTCCTCTCCCTCACCCCTAAGACCTCTGAGCTTATTCTGGGCGTATTCATCATTCTCTGTTTCCTCTACCAGTTCTCTTTGTCCCACCAATGCCGCCCCACACACCCAGCGGTCCTCTGGAATGACATGTCTCTCTTCGGGTGCTCCCTACACCATCCAAATATAAATGTTTGCGTGAGAGAGCGTCCGCCATAATGTTCTCTGGGCCTGGCACGTAACCAATCTCAAATTTAAATTTGCAGAACTACTGGGCCCATCTCACTTGCCGTTGGCTGAGCACTCGTGCCGTCCTCCAATACTCTAGGTTCTTGTGGTCAGTGCACACTTGCACCTTATGTTGTGCGCCAATTAGCAGGTGCCTCCATCTCCGGAACGCCTCATGAATGGCTAGTAGTTCTCGGTCATACACCGTGTAGTTCCTCTCGGATTTGTTCAGCTTTCGCGAAAAAAGCACACGGTCTCCACTCTGACTCCTCCTTCCCTGGCTGCAGAAGCACCGCCCCAATCGCTCTGTCTGATGCGTCAGTTTCCACTCTCATCGGTTTTTGTAAATCCACATGCAGGAGTTGTTGTTCCGAGGCGAAGGCCCTTTTTAGTTCCTCAAATGCTCGCTCCGCCTCCTCAGTCCAAACGAACTTCTTCTTACTGCTGAGACAGTCCGTAATGGGCGCCGTCAGATGGGCAAAGTTTCGGATGAACTTACGATAGAAGTTCCCAAATCCTAGGAACCTCTGCACATCCTTCCTTGTTTTGGGTGTTTTCCATTCCAGCACCGCCTGGACCTTGCCGGGATCCATGGCCAATCCCTTGTCTGACAGGCGATACCCCAGGAATTCCACCTCCTTGGTATGAAACTGACACTTCTCCAGTTTCACCCACAGCTGGTTGGCTTGCAGCCTGCTCAACACTTCTCTGACGTCTCTCACATGCTGCTCCTCATTCTCAGAATACACCAACACGTCGTCTAAGAAGGCCACACAATTCTTGTAAAGCAAAGGCCCCAGGACGTGGTTCATAAACGATTGAAAGCATGCGGAGCCTGCTTGTAGGCCGAAGGGCATAACCAAATATTCAAATGCCCCTAAAGGGGTGAACATGGTGGTTTTCCATTCATCCCCCTTCCTTATTCGTATCAGGTTGTACGCCCCCCTTAGGTCCAGCTTTGTGAAAATCTTTCCCTTCCGCACCCTTGTCAAAATGTCGTCAATCCTGGGCATAGGGAAGGCCACTGGTTCTGACACTGCATTTAAGGCCCTGAAGTCACACACCAGCCTCGGCTTGTTCGTGTTTTTTTATCCACAAAAACACTGGGCTGCCCCCACCGCCCTGGACTCTCTGATGAACCCTCTCTTCAGGTTCTTGTCAATGAACTCTCTTAGCTCCTGCATCTCTCTGTCTGACATGGCGTACAGCTTGCCTACAGGGAGCTGTGCCCCAGGGAGTAAATTGATTTGACAGTCAAAGGGTCTATGCGGGGTAGTTGGTCAGCTTCCCTTTCGCTGAAGACGTCGCGGAGATCTGCGTATTGTCGTGGTACCTTCACGTTCTCCGTTACTTCAGTCCCTGCTAGGGTGGCTTGGGCCCCTGCCAAACCCTTTCCCTCTTTGCAGTGTTCTAAGCAATGTGCTGAACCAAAAGAAACCACTCTCTGATGCCAGCCCACCAGCGGATCATGTAACGCTAGCCAGCTCATCCCCAATATAATGGGAGCTCCTCCCAAGGTGGCCACATTAAACGCTATCAGTTCGGTGTGCCTTGCCACCTTCATTATCATTGGGACGGTCTGCAAGCTGACTTCTCCTCCCAACAGCTCCCTGCCATCGATCGTGGTCACCTGCAGGGGGCTGCTTAAAGGGATTGTCTGTATCTGGTGTTCAGCTGCAAACTCTTTGCTCATGAAATTGCAGGAGCTGCCTGAGTCCAACAGCGCCTTTATCTTTAGAGGGTGTCCGTTTGGCAGCTCTAGCGCCACTTCTATCACTAGGGCGGGTTTAGGAGGTTCTGGCGTGGGCACTCTCACTGCTCTTTGGCCTGGCTGCTGTGCCCCGATGGTGGCAGCCAGGCGTTGGCTTTTACTTGCTCCGGTATTT